CCCTGGAAATGTATCCTTTAGAGTTCATTGAATGTAAGAGTAAGTGGTAAATAATTTTGGGAGGTTTACTTATAATTTAAAGATTTTCTCATTTTTGCCAACCTCTTTGTTACCATCAAAATGTTACAAATTAATGAATGATGCAAGCATTCATATAAGCACCCTAAGATTAGGTGGGCCATAGGGCCAGTGCTGGGGCCTAATAGGCTATAGCCTCTACCTTTGGCGCTGGCATCTCAAACTGGCACTAGTTCGTCTCCCATCTGCTCACTTTCCAATCCATGGCCTGAGAAAAGTGGCCTGAGGAAGTGGTAGAAGATGACCTATGTGCTTGGATTTCTGTACCCAGGTGGGAGACCCTGAAGAAGCTCCTGACTTCTGGCTTTGGATCAGCCCAGCACTTGCCATTGCAACCCTTTGGAGAGTGAACCAGCAGGTGGACTATCTCTCTCTCTCTGTCTCTGTCTCTGTCTCTGTCTCTGTCTCTGTCTCTCTCTCTCTCTGTAACTCTGCCTCTCAAATAAATAAATACAATCTTTAAAAAAGAAGTCTAATTTCTGGGTTTGCTTCAGGTTTCATGCGGAGAACTGGGCTCCTCTTCTTGGCTGTCCTTCTCCCCCTCCTCCTCCCTCTCCCTCTCCTCCTTTCTCTCTTCCAGTGTTCAATTCTTGACCCCACAGTCACTCTCATTATGTCACGCTGGGACGAATCCAGATATATATAGGCTTCTCAGGTTAACACAGGGATGAGCACTCCTGACAATGAAAATGGATCCAACATGTTTTAGCAATCCTGTACCTGCAATAAAAAGGTAAACCTTTTGCAGAAAGTAGGTACTGACACAAAGCTTTTTGGGGATTAAGTAGATTTTAGTCATCAAGCTTGAAATATTTTCTTTATGTCAGATGCTGTATGTCCTTTAAGAAGCGCAACTATTTTTTTTCTAGGTCAGATATTTTGCTTAAAATTCATAGGCAAACTAGACCATCACTGACTCCATTCATTCATTCCCTGGTCTACTACATCCAAACAATGACTGTGGCAGTCTCTGTAAAGAGCTTACAGGCTAGTTGCTGAGACACACAGCAAGTTACTACCATATAATGTGGAATATGCTGATTAAGTGCAGTGGGACCCCACAGAAAGAATGCCTCACTAGTATATTTGGGGAAGACGGCATGAAGACTCTCTGGATTGAATGGGATCTGAGTTGTCCTGGTGGAGGAAAAGTCCTTAGAAGGTGAAGGACTTTAAGGAGGAAGCTGAGGAAGCCTTGGAGTTGGGGTGAAGGGTGTATACAGTCAATATTAACAGTATTCAATGGGTTACAGTGACAAGTGTGAATTAGGCTAGATAGAGGGAAAGTAGTGAGAGCTAGAAATTGTTGAAAGATTGTTCTTTGAAACCATTGCTCTTCAGTACAGTTTCAACACAGTCAAGGAGACACATGTATACATGTGCGTGCTTCCTTGCCCTACATGTAAACATTTGTATGGATGGGTCAAAGCTAGACTCAACCATTGAGGACCCCAAATCACATTCCTTCATTAAGATCAGCTACATCCAAGAGAAATATTACAAGCCATAAATGCAAGCAACATATGTAAATTCAAAATTTTCTACCAGTCACATTAAAAAAGAAACAGGTAAGCTTAACTTTAAGAAACTACATTAACTCAGGATAACAAAATATCAACTTAACATGTGATTAACATGTTATTTGAGGGGCTGACACTGTGGCTTAGTGGGTAAAGCCACCACCTGCAGTGCCGGCATCCCATATGGATGCTGGTTTGAGTTCAGCTCTCTACTATAGCCTGGGAAACAGTAGATGATGGCCCAAGTCCTTGGGCCCCTGCACCCACATGGGAGACCCATAAGAAACTCCTGGCTCCTGGCTTCAGATTGGTGCATATCTGGCCATTGTGGCCACTTGGGGAGTGAACCAGCAGATGGAAGATTCTCTCTCTCTCCTTCTGCCTCTCCTCTCTGTGTGTAATTCTGACTTTCAAATAAATAAATAAATCTTTAAAAATGTTACTTGAGATGTTTTGCATCTTTATACTAAGTCTCCTAAATCCAATGTGGAGTTTACACTCATACAACTCAATTTACCTTACGCACATTTCACATACATGATAGCTACATGTGACTGGTGGCTACAGACCAATTAGAGTTACTTAGATCACTCCCAGGAGGACAATGAGCTATGATAGGTTGAAATCTTCACCACTTATGGGTGCTAACTAAGTATAATGTCCCTGAAAAAAATTCTCTATTCACTCATTTATCCATTAATTCCCTTGTTCTTTGAATAAGCACATGTTAAGCACCTATTATGTGTGAAGGACTACAATGAGGAGAATGGCCATGATATGATGACTATGAAGATGAATAATACTATTCAGTATCAGAGGTGGAAAAACATATTCACAAGATGCTATCACAACAGCAAGAAATAACTGGAGCAGTGATATGCCATGGAATCAAGAGTGGATATACCAGAATTTATGATAGAATCAGATTGAGGCAAGGGAATTTCTGGTATTTCAGATTACACTGAAGCCCTGGGATTTCAACTCCATGGGAGAGAATCATTTACCCCCTCCCCCCATGCTTCTTCTCATGCAGAATCCCACTGAATCAGCAATACCAATAAGATAATGCAAGATTACAGGATGTGGATGCACACAAAAAAGGTTGAGGGGCATAGAATTAGTAGGATATTGCCATGGAAAACTGAAGGGATTCTGGGGGACTTCATTGAAAAAGTGGTATTTTTGCTGCATTTTGAGAGATGAGAAGCTTGTCAGGAAGGCATCCTAGGTGAACGATACAAGTAATACAATGTGCAGTGGTGTGAAGACAAAGAGCAAATGTGTCATATTTAGGAAATACCAAAGATTTGAATAATTGCCCCCTAGGGTGTGTGTGTGTGTGTGTGTGTGTGTGTGTATAAAGTGAACTGGAAATGCTTGATGTTTGGGATTACAGTTTGATGAACAATGTGTACTACACTGAAAAGTTTTTACTTTTTTTTAAAGAAAATTAACTTTGATTGTCTCCACAATCAACTCCATAATCAAATTCAAAGTTCACTAATGAATTACATTAGAAAATTCTCTCTCTCTCTCTCTCTCTCTCTCTCTCATTCTGATTTCCTATTTCCAAGACAACTGAATTTTTAGATGTTAATATAAACCACTGGTTGAAAAAAATTCTTCTGTCAACTAGTTTATCTTGTTATTGACATGAATAATCAAATTCAATTGGATTAAACAAGCTGTAACACACTGTCAAAATCCATTAGCAATATAAGAGCCTCAAACCATAAAGAATCCTTTTTTGTGTATCTTAGAGTTTTCCTCTTGAAAGGAAAACTCAAATTAAAGGAAACAATGTGTTTCATTTACAAATTCTGAGTCCTCTAGGGTCTTCTCATCAGCTCTGTGGTTTGACTTTTTTATTTTTCCTTTCCTTTTCTTTTTCTGGAAATTAGGAGCAGGACTTTCTCCTTGAAAATCTCGCAAGTACTATACAATGCCTTCTTAGCAGGATTAAAAAATAGATACATTAAACTTTGCAGATTGTCCAGATTTTGAGAAGAAAAAAATGATGAGGTATAATAAAAAACAGGGAGATGGGACTTGATACTTCTTTCTGTCTTTTGAGAGACAATTTTATTCATTACGTGAAGTCACCATTGTATTTTCCGTGACCAGATGGTATCATACATCTCTTAAATTCACACATTTGCCAATTTTTACCAGATTCACAGGTAGGGAGGTTGGCTGCTGTAATTGGCAAGATGCCAGGGACTCATGAGACTGTCAGGAATAGAGAATATTGGCAAAGCTACATCAAACTGTAAATGAGCTTGCATTTAAACATCTTACTGACACTTTCACCTGTTTTCTTAAAAAAAAATTTGCTGGCTAAAGCAATATGTGATGCTTTCTATTTAATAATTTTACTAAAATGCCAAGAAATTAGAGATCATTTATGCCTGCTGATATATTTTCCAATATGCATGCTGATCCTGCAAATGATCAATCAAGCCAGATACACAAGATGAGACATAAACCCCTAACACTATTATCTCTTCCCGTTCGTTCCAAATCATCTCAGTCACATAGTGATCCTGGGATGAAGCAACTATAATGAAAACAGAAAAAAATATAGGAGTCTGTTTAAATGTCTCCCATGGCTTCATTTTCACAAAGTGCTAGATAGCAATATTCTCATCTGCATATCAGGTACCTTCTTTCTACCGTCTCTGACAGATTGTCTCTGTTGTGAAGTTTAGGCAGCAGGAGGTGAGCTCAAGTCTAAACTGCATCCTCTTGTATTAGAGGTTCAGTTAAATCCTTCAAGTTTCATCTTGACCTCTGTTTAGAAAATGAATGATGGGTCTCCACCAGTAAGCTCCAAGAGTTCAGTTTGCAAGGAATGTTGCCAAAATCCTCAAACATTACTCATGTATTTCTTGTGAAAAGATGCCTTAAAGCATTACTTGAAATACAGAAGTAAGTTTCTGGTTAGCCTTCTTTTTTTATTTTTTCAATATTTATTTATTTATTTACTAGGAAGGCAGAGTTACAGAGAGGCAAGGCAAGAGAGGGGCAGTCTTCCATCCACTGGTTCACTCCCCAGTGAATGACCAGTGCAACGATCAGAACTTGGCCGATCTGAAGCCAGGAGCTTCTCCACTTCTGGGTCTCCCACGTGGGTGCAGGGCCCCGAACACTTGGGCCATCTTCTACTGCTTTCCCAGGCAGAGGCAGAGAGAGAGATCTTCCATCTGCTGGTTTACTCCTTAAATGGCCTCAAGAGCTGGAGCTAGGCTAATCTGGAGCCAGGAGCCTGTATCTTCTTCCAAGTCTCCCACATGGGTGCAGGGGCCTAAGCACCTGGGCCATACTTCGCTGCTTTCCCAGGCCATAGCAGAGAGCTGGATCAGAAATGGAGCAGCTGGGACTCAAACCAGTGCCCATGTGGGATGCCAGCACTGCAGATGGAGACTTTACCTGCTATGCCACAGTGCTGGCCCCCTGGTTAGCCTTCTTATTTCAAGCTGTGTTATTGGGAGTAAACCCATACAGAAGCAAGGCTCACCTAAATGGCTTTATTTATCTGTTCCATACCCTTGGGTCTCAGAATATTAATTGCAACCATCAGTTAGGATTTCCCTGACTTGGATTTTTGATACATAGAGATGTTTCTCTCTCTTCAACAAACTCTCTGAATAAAATCAAGGGGCAGGTGAAATAATTGAAACTATACTTTTAAAGGGAAACTACATAGTGTTTACAGTACTTTAAGCCCTAAATAAAAATCTGTAGGTTTCTGTCAAAATTTCTCTTTATAAATTAAAAAAAAATGTTTATTTGAAAGTGTGGGGAGAGAGAGAGATCTCTTGTTTACCAGTTCACTGTCCAGGTTCCCACAGCTAGGATTAAATCAGGAACCAGGAACTCAATTCAGGTCTCCAATGTAGGTGGCAGAAACCCAACTCCTTGAGCCATCTTCTGTTGCTTCCCAGGGTGCACGTTGGCAGCAAGCTGGAATTGGGAGCAGAGCTAGGACTGGAACCCAGGAATTCTGATGAGGGACGTGGGTGTTGTAAGCAGCTGCTCAACCACTGCACCAAACAAATATCCCTGTCAAAATTTATAATCCTTCCTTTCAAACCAGTAGTCAAGTGTGTGTTAGCCAGTTGTCTCCAATTTGGTATCATTTGGATTTCTTTTCCTTTGTTAACTAGATCCTACTTGTTCTCATCTGTGTTGCCTTTGTTGTTCCCAACAGCCCTTCACTAACATGACGATTGGCTTGTATGCTGGAGTATGTTAGAAATTTCAAAAAGTCTTCATTGTCGAATTATTTCATTTGTGGTCTTGTCAAGTATATTGAAGGAAGATGACAGCCCCACACACTGTTGGCCTCTAGACCATGTCTCTTCCTATTTGTATGGATCTATTTTTTTTTTTTTTTCCATTCTTGGGCATCATCTGTCTGATTGCTGTCTCTATTTCTGTCTGTGCCCACCCCAATATCCTTAGTAGTAGAAGGGACGGTGGCTGAATTCTTAAATTTCACTCCCTTTGGAATGATGAGTGATTTCCAGAGTGAGTTTGACTTGAAAAATGGATACTCTGTTTTTACTTTGGTAGAAAGATGTATGTCAAAACAATTCCTATGCAAGCATTATTAAGCTTCCTTCAGGGCTGTTACATAGTTCAGGGGTATTATTCTTTAAAATTGTAATGGGGGGCTGTCTCTCTCTCTCTCTCACTGTCTGTAACTCTACCTGTCAAATAAATAAATAAATAAATAATCTTTAAAAAATTGTAATAGAGGTGGGCATTGTGGTGTAGTAGTTTAAGCTGCTGCTTGAGGTGCATGCATCCAATATTGGAGTGCTGGTTCTAGTCCATGCTACCCTGCTTCCGATCCAGCTCCCTGCTAATGTGTCTGGTAAGCAGCTGATGATGGCTCAAGTACTTGAGTTCTCTCCACCCACATAGGGAATTCAGACAGAGCTCCTGGATCCTGGCTTCAGCATGGTCTATCCCTGGCTTTAGCAGTTATTTGAAGAGTGAAGCAGTGGATTGAAGATCTCTGTCACTCTGCCTTTCAAATAGATATAAATATTTTTTTAAAAAATTCTGTGACACCCCAGAGTGTCACAAATTGTTTAAAGGACCATAATGAAGTACTCCTCAAATACTCTTTTTTTTTAAAAAAAGATTTATTTATTTATTTGAAAGTCAGAGTTACACAGAGAGAGAAGGAGAGGCATAGAGAGAGAGAGAATGTCTTCCAACCGATGGTTCACTTCCCAATTGCCCACAATGGCCGGAGCTGCGCATATCCGAAGCCAGGAGCCAGGAGCCAGGAGCTTCTTCTGGGTCTCCCACGTGGGCGCAGGGGCCCAAGGACTTGGGCCATCTTTTACTGCCTTCCCAGGCCATAGCAGAGTTGCTGGATTGGAAATGGAGCAACCGGGTCTTGAACCGGCACCCATATGGGATGCAGGCGCTTCAGGTCAGGGCGGTAACCCGCTACGCCACAGCACTGGCCCCTCTCAAATACTCTTAAACAGAAAAAAAAAAAAAAAGAATTTAATGTAAATCTTCTGATACTTTAGGCAGACATGGAGATAACATAAAACAATCTTCAATAATCAATCAATAAACATATTGAACATCTGTATTATACCCTTGTTCGCTTGCCTGTATCCAATTAACAATGATGGATCTTGTACAAAGAAAAGTATTTTTGCTGCCTATTGCTTTATTATTTGGGATATGAGGCAAATTTTGTGCAATTATAAAACCTTTTAAAAATGCTTATTGTATAGATTTTGTCAGGTAAATATGCCGTAATAAAGAAAAAGCATTTTAAATATTGATAATACAGTCTGTATTTGGAGATAAATTGTAAAGAAATGTGTGTGTGTATATATATTGACCAAGTGGGCATTAATATTTCCCTCAGTTTGCCTAAATTTGGCAGACTTCATAATTCTAGGTCTGATCTCCTTTTTCTAAAAGCATTTGTTTAGGAAAACTTATTATTGTAAATTCCCTCTCTGTCTCTTTGAGATGCAAATCTTTTTAAAAGCTTCTTTGCAGTTTTACAATGCAGGATGCCTTAAAGACCTGGAATCCAGGAAAGAGCCTCTAACTTCCATGCCCTGTGGGTGGGTGGGAGACTAACTCCAAGGATGTGAATTAGCAAACACAGAAGGCCTAACCCTAGAGGGGTATTTGCAAACTTGATGTGCATGAAGCATCCCACTGACCAACCTGCTCCTGCACCCCAGCATTCTCTCCAGCCTTCCAACAGTCCATCTCCACCCCAGATTCCCTTCTACCTTTTGTTTCAGCAGAGTTGAGTTCAGGTCTCTCTGCCTCAATTGTGCTGGCCTTAAATAAACTTTTTCCTTATCAGTTTAAGTTTGTCCAATGTAATTTTCCCTTTGACAATAAGTATGAATACTCAATTTTATATATTTTACATAAAGTTACTGTTTAAAAGCTACTCACAGAAAACAAACCAATAATAACCCCAATGATCATGAATGCTTCCTAATAATTCAGTCCCTAAAGGGTTCTGGGTATTTATTACATAAAATTACACACTGCCCCCTTAATTGTTTTTAACGCTTGTCCTGTGTTTCTATCCTGCTTTATTTTTCTTCACAGCATTTACCAGTACCAAATATTTATCCTTTCTATTTGTTATTGTCTGTCTTCTTGCCTAGAATGATAATCCATGAAAGCTGAGACTTTTATGTTTTGTTCACTGAAGTATTTTCAGTGCCTGGATCATGGAGTAATTACTCAATAAATATTGTTGAATAAAGAACAGATTAGGGGGGCCAGCGCTGTGGGTTAATGCCCTGGCCTTAAGCACCGGCATCCCATAAGGGCTCCGGTTCTAGTCCTGGCTGCTTCTCTTCCGATACAGCTCTCTGCTATGGCCTGGGAAAGCAGTAGAAGGTGGCCCAAGTCCTTGGGCCCATGCACCCAAGTGGGAGACCCAGAAGAAGCTCCTGGATCCTGGCTTCGGATTGGCGGAGCTCCGGCCGTTGCAACCATCTGGGAGTGAACCAGTGGATGGAAGGCCTCTCTCTCTCTTTCTACCTCTCTCTGTAACTCTGTCTTTCAAATAGACAAAATAAATCTTTTTTTTTTTTTTTAAAGAACAGATTAGGGGCCAGATGTGCTATAGCGGGTAAAGCCACTGCCAAATCCTTGGGCCCCTGCACCTGCATGGGAGACCCAGAGAAAGCTCCTGGCTCCTGGCTTCAGATCAGCGCAGCTCTGGTCATTGTGGCCAATTGGGGAATGAACCAGCAGATGGAAGACCTCTCTGTCTCTGCCTCTCCTCTCTCTGTGTAACTGACTTTCAAATAAATAAATAAATCTTAAAAACAGAACAGGTTACCCATTAAGATTTTTGTTATTGTTATTACTGGTTGTTGGGTTCTGTTTTGTCTGTTTATCTAAGGATTTTAAAAGCTAACCCAGGATTGAGCTAAAATGCTCTTCTCAGGTTGATTTTATACAATCATACTCTGGTGTCTTGTCATTAGCCTATACTGATCAGAAAATACACAAGGACTAGAATATTATTGAGGATATTATTCATTGCCTTTGTAATATTTTCCAATGGAGACCAATGGAGAAATTTCTCTCTGCTATCAGTTTCAGAAATATTTACATAACTGGTTAATTTTCAGTTTGAGCATACGAGGAATCTAGCAGCTGAAGGTGCTTCCGTCCCTGTGTTGGCTGCCAGAACACAAAGAACAAAACATGTGCTATGCCGTTAGCAAGGACAGCATTTATGCTGTGCACCAAGCTTGTCCCTAGCTCTGTCTGGTTTTGCAACTTTTCTATTCCCTTTTTTGTTGTTGTTGTTGATAATTTTAAATTTATGTTATATTATAGCCTAGAATCTTCAAAAGTTTCCTTAAGTCTTTTTTTGGGGCAGTATGATAAATTGCTATAAATTTTAGTAATGTTAAAATTAGCAAGTCCTTTGTTAGTAGAATTACTTATTAAGAGAGTAGTAATTTAGAAATGTTTTCCTAGATGTGACATATTCAGTTCTTTTAAACGTCATGTGAGCAGCAGTTTAGAAATTAAGTTATACACTTGTATTGTAGTTGGGAAAAGTGAGGTTTAGAGGAGTCATGTAATTTATCCCAACTTTAATGGTTAGCTAAACTGAGAAACCCAGAGAGCATACAGGCCTTGTAATTATTCCTTCAAAGTTCTCACCTCTAGTTGATCTTTCTTCACGTGGTTCAAATTTTCTAATTAGATAAGCATTTCTCTTATTATGTCTGGCTCAGCTGATCTTTCCTTGGATGATATGTGGCAGCTTTCTTGCCAGTGGAATTGCATCATGTTGTGTATTTAATACAGATGCAAGAACAAAACTGAATTGCATAAATAGAATGGGGCCTGAACTCCAGAGTCACATTGTGTTCAAATCCTACACCTGCTAGTTACTAGTAAATGATGCTTGATATTTCTGTGCCTAGGTTCTTAAGGTTTGAAACAGAAATGATCATTCTAAGGATACCTATGCAACTGGGTTATTTTGAGAATCCAATAAGAATATACTTAAAACTTCTAGAACAGTGGTGGGCATGTGGTAAGGACTGAATAACTGTTAACTGTTTTCTTAGCCCAGCTCCCAGGAAATGAGCTTGAAGCTTAAGCTGGTATGCTAAAATGCAGTTACTTGGAATGGTGATTTCAGAGAAGCAGGACAGAAGAACAAAGGCAAATGAGGTAGGGATAGAGGGAAAGCAAATGGAAGGTAGTATGTTTTTGAGCTGGCCATAATGTCACAAGAAAACACAGATGAGTGCTCGGTCTTGTTGGGTTTTATCCATATATACTGAGTGGAACCACTGTGTCCGGGGACAGTCCATTGAGAGGAGAAAGCACAAAGCACTTCTTTGCCTGGTTCTTCTTATCTTCTGCTTTTCATTGATCAAAGTTCAGAGCATGGGAGTATTCGCTCTCCTTTACTTCCAGCAAGTTAGCTTACCTACCCTGATCCTATGTCCTATGGCATGGGTTTCGTCTGAGTTTAGAAGGATGCAGGGAAGGAGCCTCCATTGGTTTGCTTGGCTGCAATGAACATCAGAGCTGCTGCAGTTCCTGCCTTAATGGGTTTGATGGACACTGAAGCAGTCGAAGATGAGGGGAAGTTGGAAGTTATTGGGGCTCTTTACTGAGAATGTGGCTGCCATCCAGGGACAGGTGAAGTGAAGAAAATGTGAGGAGCTCATAAACAGTAAATTATTGCTATTGTTGTGTCATAAAATCTTGTAGCAGACACAGACATGTACTATTCACATGTCCATTCGAGAATGGACTCACTGGCAATCATGCATTCCATTAGCTAAAAAGTTTCAAATATTATTTTCTTCACAATTCACCTCTGTTTCCATGATGATAGTATACTTTGGAGTGTTGTGGAAAATGATGAAGCAAGATGGAGATGGCTAAGGTTATATGCTTCTCAGCGTTGTTACGGCCTATAACTGAACAAGACCAGGACAAAAAATCCAGCCCTTTCCACCAAGCTCATGATGACTACTGAGAAAATCATGCTTTGGAGTGCTCCTTGAACCTGATGGAAACTGAAGGTAATCCTGCCCAATCCTGCCTTCTTTCCTTCATTTTACTTCCTAATTAATGATAAATAAGACTTTTACATTCCTTACTACATCTCAAGGTCTGCTTACCAGGTAACCCAACTCCAACACTTCCCCACAATGAACATGTATGTTAAATGATATTAAATATTTAAAAAATATTTATTTATGAATTTGAAAGAGTTACACAGAGAGATCTTTCATTCACTGGTTCACTCTTCGAATGGCCTCAACAGCTATGGCTGAGTCAGGCTAAAGCCAGGAGTCTGGAGCTTTTTTCTGGGTCTCCTATGTGGATGGAGGAGCCCAAGCACTTGCACCATCTTCCACTTAATTCCCAGGCATATTAGCAGGGAGCTGGATTGGAAGTAGAGCAGCTGAGTCTTGAATAGCACCTATATAGGATGCTGGCATCGCAGGTGGCAGCTTTACATGTTATGCCACAATGACAGCCTCTAAATGATATTAAATTTACAAAAGCTAAATAGTAAAATAGAGATGTTAATATTGCAAGCAAGCTGATGCTCTCCATGAAATTTTTAATCCTTTGATGATTTTCACTGTGCGATAGAGAACCTCAGGCTCTTATTAAATGTTAAGAATGTATTCCAAGTCAATTTACACCCAAAATTAAATTTTTAAAGCTTAGAAATTTTGATTACTGATAAAACTTAAATTTTCCTTAGTATGAACAATATGATAATAATAGAGCTGCCTTTTTGAATGTGTCAGATATTGTGGTGGTCACATTATATATACACTTTCTTATTCATTTATTTTAAAATATGATTTATTTTATTTTTGAGTAGTAGTTTTATTAATTTATTAATAATTTTAATTTATTCATGAGGAAGAGAAATAGAGAGGAACATATACAGACAGATACACACACAAGTAGATAGAGAGAA